TTAATTAATAAGCGGTTTGTCTGGAGACTCATCTCTCCCCTGGGACAGTAGCATGAAAATGGGAGGCTCATCTTGAAAGTAAATGTGCAAAGGAAGATAAGAGTTAGACAAGAACATGGAGAAGAGACTAGTAGGACAAAGTGAGTGTCTAAGTACCTACATTGGACCATGTAAATTCCCCATTTGAGTCCTTCAGTGGCATTCCACTGCTCTTAGGACAAAACTCATCGCCTTAGCCTGGTTCCTAAGAGCCTGCACAGCCTGGCCCTAGTGCCTCTCCAATCTCATGTCAAACCATTGTCATCACACCTCATGCTTCATCAAGATCTTTCCCACTTCAAGCCTGGCTGGTGTGGCTCAGGTGGTTGGATGTCATGCAGTGCATTGAAAGGTTGCAGGTTTGATTCCTGGTTGGGGCACATGCCCAGGTTGTGGGCTTCATCCCCGTAGGGGGCATGCAGGAGGCAGCCAATTCATGTTTCACTCTCACATCAATGTGTTTCTCTCTCTAAAAAAATCAATAAAAAATGTTTTTTAAAAAAGTCACATCCACAGAGAAGCTTTTTCTAACACCCTATTACAAGTAGTGCATACTTCCTCCACTTAAATCCTCTTATATAACCCCCTTTATTATCTTCAAAACACTTGTCACATCTATAATTATCTTCTGCTTACTGTTAGTCTTTCCCAATAGAATCTAAATGGCCAGAGGACAAGGGAGCATGGCTGGCTTCCTCACTGCTGTGCCCTGACTCTTAGAACAGTGCTTGACACATGGTAGGTGCTTCATCAACAGTTGTCGAGTGATTAAATGAACAAATGCACAGCTTCTAAAGGAACACTGCTAAGGGGGTGAAGGATAAGTAGGACTAGGGAACATTCAGAAGAGAAGGCTTAGTAAATTTTAAAGGGGAATTTAAAGGGTGGAGGGCCTTTCTGTGCTACCCAGAGAGGGGTCCACATGGCATTGTTTGTGGTTGTCACATAACTTAAAGGGAAACTTGCACAATATCTGGAGCCCTTGACATCCTGAAAATGAAGAAGGATGTCCCCAAATACCTTGCAGCAGGAACCCACTTAGGTGGCACCAACCTTGACTTCCAAATGGAACAGTTCATCTACCAAAGGAAAAGTGATAGCATCTACATCATAAATCTGAAGAGAGCCTGGGAGAAGCTCCTGATGGCAGCCTGCGCCGTTGTTGCCATTGGAACCCTGCTGTCAGTCACATCGTCCAGGAACCTGGCCAGTGAGCTGTGCTGAAGTTTGCTGCTGCCACGGAAGCCACTCCCATTGTGGCCACTTCCCTCCTGGAACCTTCACCAACCAGGGCCAGGCAGCCTTCCTTCCAGGAGCCACAACTTCTGCTGGCTACTGATGCCGGGGCTGAGCACCAGCCTCTCTAAGTGGTGTCCTCTGCCAGCCTGTTGCCACAGCTCTGTGTAACCCCCTCTCCTCTGTGCCATCCCTGCAACAACAAGGGGCTCACTCAGGGTGTCTGGGGTGGGGGAGGCTGGCCTGGGAAGTTCTGCACAGGCGTGGCACCATCCCCTTGAACACCCATGGGAAGTCATGCCTGACCTCCACTTCTACAGAGACCCTGAAGAGATTGAAAAGGAAGAGCAGATCCCTGCCGGAAAGGCTGTGACCAAGAAGGCGTTTCAGGGGGAAAGGACTGCTCCAGCTCCCACGTTCGCGGCTGAGCCTGAGGTCGCAGCCGGTCTGAAGGCGCAGGCGCCCTCTGTGCGCACTGAGCAGTTTCCTCCCGAAGCCAGCGCTCAGCGGCCACCAGCACTGGTCTGCAGCCCCCACTGCGCAGGCCGCCCAATGGGTTGGAACGACCACTGAGTGGTCGTCAGCTGTTCTTCTACCAACTCTCAAACAGAAAGGAAAGAAGGTTGACGGAAAATAAACAGTTCCTAAAGAAAATACAGAGTGGATCAAGAAAGATCAGTGACATTGATAGGGGGTGTCAGAAGGAAAGAGAACAAATGAGCATCTAGGATAAACTTCTCTGACGAAGCTATAGGCCCTCAGCAGGGCTTTAAAGCGAAAGGGCAAAGGAGGCTTACAGGAGGGACGAGAGGAAAGAGGAAGTCATGTTTAAGGGAAAGAGCACCAAATTTGCAGGCCATAGGTCTGAATTTCAGCCCTGGCTCTGCCTCTAGCCTACCTTTTGAGCTGAGGCAAACCCCTCACCACGTGGAAATCCCAGTTCTCATTGTAAATGGTTAGACTCTTGGTGCCATGGCAGTTAAAGGGGTAAACAGGAGACTGGGCTTTGAAGATGACATTCCTATGACTTGGGTCACGTATCTAGGCACCTGGGCTGTTTGGTCAATCTGGTTGAATGTCTAAGTGCCCAAAAGTGCACAGACTTACAGACAGGTACATTCACATAATGCAAACATCACAGAGATGCCCAAATAGTCTCACACACACTGAATATCACAGAGACAAGCACCAGGTATTATTCAGGGGCAGACAGAAAAAAACCTAAAGGCATTTCCCCAATACTGTAGGCCCAGAACAAGAAAGAACCCAATGTCTAAGAGGCCTTGGGGTGGGGATAGAGCCAAATAATAATAATAATAACAACAACAACAACAATAATAATGCAATACAAAGCAAAAGAGACAAAAGAGGATAGACAAGAAGGCCAAGAGAAATTCAGAGAAATCCAGATAAATTGCAAAGGGCAAACAAGTGCAGACCGTCCCAGGAGCCAGAGACGGGGAGAGAGGGAAATCTGCACAGTGGTTTCCTTTTCAGTGCTGTCACAAATGATCACAAGCCCTGGCCAGTTTGGCTCAGTGGTTAGAGCGTCAGCCTGAGGTCCAAAAAGACCTGGGTTTGGTTCCCGCTAAGGGTGCATACCTCGGTTGCAGTTTGTCCCTGGCCCTGGTTGGGTCATGTGGGTAGCAGCCACTTGATGTGTCCCTCTCATGTCGATGTTTCTCTCTCTCACTCTCTTCCTCTCTCCCCCTCCCACTCTATCTGAACAAAAAAAAAAAGGAAAAATGTCCTCAGGTGAGGATAAAAAAACCCAACAAAACAAATGCTCACAAACTTGTATTTGAAATGTGTGGAACAATGCACATTTATTTTCTTACAGTTCTGGAGATCAGAAGTCTGAAGTAGGTCTCAGAGTCTAAAGTCAGGTGTCAGCAGGGCTGGGGTGCTGCTGGAGGCTCCAGTAGAGAATCTTTCCCCTTGCTCCTTGCAGCATCCGGAGGCTGCCCACTCCCTTTGCTCTCACCCCCTTCCTCCGTCTTCAAAGCCAGCAGTGCCAGCACAGTACTTCTCATGCTTCCTCTCTGGTTGTCCTCTTCTGTTTTCGTCCTCCACCTGGAAGGCCCTTGTGATTATATTAGAGCCACTGAGATCATCTGGAATAATCTCCCTACTTTAAATTCAACTGCTTAGCAACCTAATTCCATCTGCAAACTTAATTCCCCTTTGCCATGTAAGGTCACATATTCATATGTTCCAGAAATTAAGATGTGGACATCTTTGGGGGACACAGAAGTCCACCTTTATAAAATAGATTTGGTCATATTTGTAGTCTTTTACTTGGGTAGCTGAGTGTTTTATGAGCATTGAGCTGGGATGTTTGTTTCAAGATGAATGTGCGTGTGTTTATTTGTGTTAGTTTATCAGGGTGTCATATTTGAATGTCTGCCTGTTAAGTATGCAGGGGTAGAAGAATGCCTGGAGGGGATCCCTAACACAGAGCTGCTGCTCCCAAAGGCGCACTGCGGGTGTATTGTTGTTCTTAGTGACAATAAAACTAATGACAGAGTGTGTCTGCATGTTTTCTTTGACTATGTCTATCTGTCCCTGAATAACACCCGGTGTTTGTCCCTGTAATATTCAGTGTGTGTGAGGCTATTTTGGTGTCTGTGATGTTTGCATTATGTGAATATATCTGTCTGTAAGTCTGTGCACTTTGAGGAACTAGACATCGATATATGAATGTTTGTACAATGGTGTGAATGGTCATAGTTGTAGACATAAAAATGTTTACTTATTCACAAACCCTTCAGGGTGCCCAGATAGAAAGACTTAGCTGGAGACAGGTGGAAGAGCGAGGAAGAAGAGGGAGCAGAGAGGAAAGGAGTAGAGAGAGCTAGGGGAGGGGAAAGGACGGAAGAGACGGAGAGAGAGAAGAGGAAAGAGGGCACAAGGAAAGATCGTGGGAAAAAAAATCAGAAAGCAGAAGGGAGATCTAGGAATCTGAAATAAATGAGAGGCAGATGGAGTCACAGAAAGGACACAAATGAGAAGGTCTGGGTATGTCTCCACTTACTGGGTGGCCTTGGCAACACCAGCTCTCTGGGTCCCAGTTTACCTAGAGATTTGAAATAGATAACCATTGGATACATCCCAAAGAAGGAGAGAGAAAAAAAGTAGATATAAAATTACACATAGGGAAAAACAGAAAGAAGGACACCAGGAGACAGTAAGGAGAGAGGCCCTTGGAGCCAGCCAGAAGTAGAGCTGAGAGAACCCTACCCTGACTCCTTGAGGCAGCAGTGTGGGAGCCTGCTACCCACCCCTCACCCCAAAGCTTCAGAGTGTCCTTAAGCCCTTAATAGGTAAGGCCGGAAGCTGAAAAGAGAGGGGCACCTGGAATGACAGCCACACACCGACACTCAGAGGCCTGCCAAAGCCACACAGACCAGGATCCGTGCTCCGGCGCCAGCCCCGAGATGTAGGTGTGCCAGCCACCTGGGATGACTCACACCCTGGCGATGTGGGCACACATGCCAAAAGCGAGCCTGGGCACCCTGCCCACCCGCACACCACAAGTTGAAGGGGGAGGTGAGATTTGGGCTCTGCAGGGGATGAGAGGGGGCTACCTTCCCCATAAATGGCTGCCTTGCTCCCAGAGCGCTCCCTAGTGACCACCTTCCTGGCTCGAGGCCCCCAGGTGTCCTTTCGGCGCGACCTCCTCCCCCAAACCTTACTCGGGACGCTGGAGAAGCAGAGGGGGTGTTACGCAAGGCCCGGTGTTTACCTCCCGCAGGGGCCGCCTCCCTCCCTATAAAGCCTGACGTCGCGCGGAGAGTGGAGAGTGGAGATTGGGGCTGAAGGGAGAGAGAGGAACCCCAGGAAAGGGGCAGAGAGCGTCAGAAAGTTAATGCGGGAGACGGGGAGGAGGGCATCGACTCAGCAGGCAGCGGGGCCGGCCGGCCATCTGCGCGCGCGAAGGCGGTCGCGGCGGTCGCGGCAGGGACGGCGCTCGGACACCGGCTTCCCATGGAGGCGCCCGCGCTGGGCCCCGGGCTGGTGGAGCGTCTGGAGCAGCTGGCGACGTGCCCGCTGTGCGGGGGCCCCTTCGAGGACCCGGTGCTCCTGGCGTGTGAGCACAGCTTCTGCCGCGCGTGCCTGGCCCGCCGCTGGGGGACCCCGCCGGCGAGCGGCCCCGAGGCGTCGCCCCCCGCCTGCCCCCGCTGCGGCCTGCCGTGCCCCCGCCGCAGCCTGAGGTCCAACGTGCGGCTGGCGGTGGAGGTGCGCATCAGCCGCGGGCTGCGCGAGAAGCTGGCGGCGCCCGGGGCGCGCGCGGGGAGACGCCGCGGCGGCCGCATCCCCACCATGGGCAGCCTGGACCCGCTGGGAGAGGTGAGGCCGGGGGGCTCCGGGGACGGCACCTCCCGAGCGGGGGCCGCCACGGCAGCTGAGGCAAGGATGGGGCTGAGGAGAGACGAGCCAAGGACGAGGGGGCGGGAGCTGACCGCGGGTCCTCTCGGTTCAGTCAGAGGTGGCCGGAAGGACCGTGGGAAGGAGTTGTCACTTTGCCCGAGTCCTGTGAGAGCTGGACGGGATGCGGGATCCCTCGGAGGCCCTGCGGGGCGCGCGGGCGCCGGCGGGAGGGGACCCGCGGGGCAGAGGGAGCCGCGGACTGGGGCGAGGCGAGCGGGGATCTGGGAGGAGGGTGCGGGGGTCCGAACTAAGGCCGGTGGGGGAGTCCGGGGGCGGGGGCTGAGAAAAAGCCGCGATGGAGGCCGAGGAAAGAGGGCGCCGAGTAAAGGGGAGACGGAAGGCCAGGGGAGCAAATCCAAAAGCCCCCGCCGCGCCGCGGGCCCAGGCCCCGGCGAGCCCGGCGCTGTTTGTTATTGTTGTCCTCGGCTCCTCCCAGGGCCCCCGGCAGAGGCGGTCGGGTGGAGGCGAAGTCCGGAAGAACTGCCTTTGGGGCCCCTGGCTCCCCTACTTCCCAGCCTTATCACCCACCCACCGGCTGCGCCCCTCTTGGGCCCCCACTCCTTGGCGGTCAACCAACCCATTCCCTTGCACGACCCTCGGCTTGTCCCCAGCAGCTAAACCATCTAGGGTCTTGCTTCCCCAGGTGTAATTGGCATAATTAGGCCAAGCCTTTCCTCTCCCCCTCAACACACACTGGTCCGCTCCCGCGGCTCTCCCTGGACAGGGAAGGGGGAAGGAGGAATCCCCGCATCTGGAGGCGTGGGGGGCGGTAATCAACGCTCTCTCTTGGCTCCTACGGGTTCCTGCAGATCTGTTGAGCCTCCTGAGACACAAGTCCAGCGGCCTCCTTGGCCAAAGTAGAGCGACCACAAAGCAAAGGGCTCAATAAACGCCACTGGGCTTTTATGGCAAGAAGTGAAGCAACTTTATTATAAGGCTTTTATATACCAGCCCTTAGCCCAGGGGCTCTGAGTGTGTGTGTGTGTGTTGGTCTGTATGATGTAAGGGGATACACCCACAGGAAGGTGGATAAGGACAGCGTCAGAGACAGAGAATGGGGTTGTGGGGGCAGCAAGGAAAGGTAAGGACTCTGAGAGCATGAATGCGGCTGGGCACTGAGGGCCCTGGGAAATGGGGGGGCACAGTGCAGATGGTGTTAGGTGAACAAAAGGCAGGAAGGAGTGAGGAGAAGAAAGGAGCGTTGTGAAGGAGGAGGAGACAGGAACAGAGCACAGGGGTAACAAGGAGATGTGCAGAGGGAAGGGAGGGGCCCTCACCTGAGCTGGGGAGGGGGCTCCCCACAGTGTAAAGCTCAGAGCTCACATCCATGTTTTCTTTTGCCCATCCAGGATATGAGGAAGACATGGAGAAGGTGAGTTCCACTGTTACTGTTGCTTCCTTTCTACTACCATCTGCCACACCCATCGGCTTCTCACTGGGCCCCCCTCTGTGCCCACTCAGACGGGTTCCCTAGAGGTGCCTTGCCCTTCTCTGCTCCAGAAATGCCAGTTGGGTAGGAGAGGGGGCAGCAGAGGGTAGAGGGTGTCTGCTGGTTTCCTGACCTTTGTCCCTCATTTGTCCAGATCTGACGCCCCAACACCCAAGTCATCTACCTCAGAGGACGATCTCCCTGAAGATTACCCAGTGGTCAAAAACATGCTTCACAGACTGACGGGTAAGGAGGGCAGAAGGGAGGAAAGTGAATGAGACTCTGTCTTAGGTTTGCCCCCTTTTCTCTCTCAAAAATAATCAAGTCCTTTTTGAGGTAACCGTTTCCTAGGGATGCTGCAACAAAGCGTCACACACTGAGTGGCTTGAACAACAGAAACCTATTGTCTCACAGCTCTGGAAGTAGAAGTCAAGGTGTTGGCAGTTTGGGTTCCTTCCGAGGCTGTGAGAATCTGGCCGGTGATTCTCTCCTGGCTTCTGGTAGCTCTGACATTCCTTGGCCTGTAGGTGGTATTCTTCCTGTGTCTTCATGTCACATTCCCTCTGTCCGCATTGGTCTCTAGGTCCAAACTTCCCTTTTATAAGGACACCAGTCATATTGGACTAGGGCTCACCCTACTAACCTCATTTTAACTTGATTACTTTTGTAAAGACTATTTCCAGATAAGGTCACATTCTGAGGTACTGGGGAACTTCAACAGATCTTTTTGAGAGGAAATAGAATTCAACCCATAACAATGTCTACCCTCAAATCCTCATATTCCAGCCATTCTCCCCTCTTACCTTTTCAAACAATCATACAGCAGACCCCAGGAGTCAGCTGCCTCCAGGAATCTCTGCTCCACCACTGCTCACTACTCTCCAGAAGGACCCAGGACCCCTGCATTTCCCTGCCCTGGACTCTGGGGCCTTCTCTGCGGCTTCTCAGAGTTCCTTCCTCAGTCACTCCCAAGGCTGGCCTCCATCCCTCTTTACACTGCCTGGAGAAGATGCTCCACCCTCTTGGTCACCCACCATCCCACCCACCCTAGATTACTTCTAGTACCCCGAATCCAGAAATCTTTTCTCAAGGCACTCCATATACTCAAGGACAATAACTAGTTCTCTGGCCCCTTTGGCTATTACCAAATTCCGCCCAACTCTGCCACACTCTTCCGTAGAAGTAGGCCTGTTCACTCCCACCTATTCCTGTGGGTGAGTGGGCTGGTTTCTCCGGATACCTAGGATTCCTTCCCTTGCCCCTCCCCTCTGACACGTTCCGGTATCTGGTATCAGTCTCTCTCTTTAGATCCACCTTCCCCATCCTGCTGACCCAGCTCCGGGGCCCCACCCCAGATACTGCACATTGAAGTATCATCCTCCCTCCTCCCTCCCTGTCAGATCAACTTCACTCTTCCCCCACCCGACAAATCTGGCGATCTGGCCTTTGGTCTCTGCACTGCGCCCTGCCCTGGGCCAGCCAGTGTTTCTCCAAGTCCAGTTCTACAGAAATGGTGCATCAGTGCACAGGCTGGGTCTTGCCTAAGTCTACCTTACATACACCTTCACCGTCTTTGATCCCACATCTCAGCTGCTCTGGGACCTGTGAAGTGCCCTCTGCTGTGTATTCCCTGTCCTGTCCCACCCCTAACTCAGGAACCCCTCTCACTCGGTCCTCTCCCTGACTTGTGCTCCCCAGCCGACCTGACCCTGGACCCAAGCACTGCACACCGCCGCCTGCTCATCTCCTCTGATCGGCGCAGCGTTCAACTGGCCCCACCAGGGACACCGGAGCCTCCTGACAGCCCAGCGCGCTTCGATCAGCTCCCAGCAGTGCTGGGCGCGCAGGGCTTCGGTGCTGGCCGCCACTGCTGGGAGGTGGAGACCGTGGGCACCGCCTCTTGCAGAGACCCTGGTGGGGAGGACGAGGACATGGAAAGTCACTATGCTTTGGGTGCAGCTGGGGAATCGGTGCAACGCAAGGGACGTGTAGGGCTGTGCCCCGCGGGCTCTGTGTGGGCTGTTGAGGGCCGAGGCGGCCGCCTGTGGGCACTCACGGCACCGGAGCCCACCCCGCTGGGTGGCGCCCGGCCCTCACCACTGCGGATTCGTGTGGACTTGGACTGGGAACGGGGTCGCGTGGCCTTCTACGATGGCCGCTCGCTCGACCTACTGTTCGCCTTCCAGGCTCCCGGGCCCTTGGGACAGCGTGTCTTCCCACTGCTCTGCACACGAGACCCTCGCGCCCCTCTGCGCATTGTGCCTGCCGAAGGATGAGAACCTCACCCATAACCTCATTCTAGCTTGGCCTGCTTTAGCTCTGCCCGCAGCTAGCCTTGTTCTTGGCTCGGAAATCCCTACTCAGCCAGGGGTCATGTCCACATATCCCAGCCAGAGTATTGATAAGCAGCCCCCACCCCACCCGCCTACACTGTCTCTTTTCTCCCAAATAGTGAGACCTCAACTGGCCTCCAGTTTCCACATCCACTCCCAAAGCCCAATCCATTCCCACCCACTCCTTTTGGGATACTTCTCCCCCATAGCTATCCCAGTACCTCCCAGCTGGTCTCCCCCCTTCTATCTTACACTGCTCGGGCCTGAGTTGGGGAACAAGCCCTGCCCCATTGGAACTGGTCAACAGGTCATGTTTACTACACAGAGTCCCTGCTCCTCAGGTATTTCCCTTCCACTTCTGTCTCTGCTAGTCTCACAGAAGAGCCCAGTGCCTCCCCCACAGCCGTAAGGCTCCAGCTCCCCCCCCCCCCCCCCATTCTCAGGTTTCTCAAGAGAAACAGTACCCTCCCCCTGAAAAGCAAGAGGCTTGGCTCTGGCCTTAGGATTCTCTAGGAAGCTTAATATCGAGGTGTGTTTTTTTTGGGGGGGTGGTCCTACTCCATGGTGACTAATTCCCATATTCAGTCTTTTCCATTAAGAGCCTTCTTTAAACTACCACCTGCACATGCTCACAGTAAGAAACCAGTGGTGCTACCTCTCCTTTCCTCCACCTGGGAAGGCCCAGACACCCTGAAGGCATCTTGTATATAGCCTCACATTTCCCCCATGTGTATAAATGGGCCCATATTTAACACGTTTTGTGATGTTGGGTTATTTATTTTGTGCATCTTGTGGCAATAAATGAAATCTCCGTGGTGGTCTGCATTTGACTGATCCCTGCAAGAGGCCTGGACAGTGACATTCAGATCCCAGTGAGGTGTGGGGGAGGCCAAGGGACTGGACATCTGGCCTGGCAGACATCAAAGCCTAGGAAGGAGGTGGTGAGAGTGCAGTGTGGGGACACACCCCCATCTTTTTCTCTCTTTTCCTTCCTCTCCCTGGGACTATGTTGGATCTGTCTCCAGAGCTGGAAGCCCAAACAAAGGCTGAGGAGAGAGTTGTCCACTCCCGAAGACAGCTTCATCAGAAATCCTAGACCACATGAGAAGGGTGAGGTGGGAGGACACGACTGTTTTCATTTTCCATTAATGGTGAGAATGACAGATCTTTCTCTCCCCCAGCTCCCCTTGAGGGCATGAGAAGTGGGCAGGAGCAGTGGAGCGGAAGGGCTGGGAGCCTCCCATAGCACCTCCCGCACCACAGGCAAGGACTAAGAGTCTGGACTGTAAATACATTAGCGCAAGAGCTCAAGGCCAGGATTAACAAGCACAGCTGGGGCAAGGTTGCCTGGAATCGGACTGGGACCCTGGCAGTGAAAGTTGGGGCTGGTGGAAACCCAATCTAAGTGTTTAGGACTCAAGTACAGAGTGCAGACAGTCAAGATAACTGGACCCCAGGACAGGCAGTTTGGCAGTGGGGACAAAGGGAAGAGACTGGGACCAAGATGCCTGGACCCTGGGGAGAGGAGGAGGAGTATTGAGGAACAAACAATGAGGCTGGGGCAACCCAGAAGCTTGGGTTCTAAAATAGCAGCAAACCAGAATTCCAGGATCTCTGACCATTCTCCTATCCTTCACTCTAAAAGGCAGAGGAGGAGGGCACTGCAGAATAATCAAACCATGGGTTTAGTCCCCAAGTAGCCACATGAACACAGTCAGGGCCACACAGACACAAGAATGGCGGGGGAGGAGTTTAGTGCTGCATTGGCCCTGGAGGGGGCTGAGAAGGGTCAGGGGGCTGGGGAAGGGTGGAGGGGCTTGGTCCAGGGGTTGCACGGCTCCGTCCTTTGCGGTGGCCCCGTACACAGTGTGTATGACCACAGCCTTCCTCTTCCTCCTCATCACTTTCCGTTGAGCTCTCACCAAAGGCCCGAGGTTTCTCATAAATACAGCAGCCTAGATTTGGAAGGAGGAGCCCAGTTAAAAAGGAGGACGAGTAAGATATAGAGTCAGTTCCACTCCCATTGGATCTCAGTAAGAATTCCTACTTCCATCACCATCTCCTACTACCTTCCAGAATCCGCCTTCCCCAGGCTCACCCCCTGGCACACAGACACTCAACCCCCTTATCCTTTTAGAGAGCCAGGAACCCGAAGCTCCACTTCTCTCACCTCTGATACCCCTTGCCTTCAAGCTTTGTCACATCCCATCCCAAATTGAGCCCTTTAGCACCTCTTCCTCCTCTAACCTCCTCTCCTTGATACCAGAGAACCACCAAGGCAGCGACAGGACTGGGGCATCTGGGGCTTCAGGATGGCCAATGGATGTGAGAAGGTAGAAGGCATGTGAACGGGAGCTAGAACCCCAGGGTGACTGTGGGCCAATAATCACTCACATTTCGATGAGCGGCGCCCCATGTGTTCGTTGTCTACAGTGTCACTCGTCCATTCCACCTTTTTCTCTGGCTTCCTTTTCCGCAGTTTGATGGTTAGGCTCCGGTTCTCCTAGGTTAATAGAGATGGGCATGCCTTTGTAGTTCTCTCCCATGGACCATTCCCACTCCCCCCCAAGGACCCCCTCAAAGCTCTATCCTAGCTCAGTTAAGTATCATAGACAGCACCAAAACAGCTGAGTAGTGGGAGAAGGTGAAATAGAACAGGTCTCTGTCCTCCTTGAGGAATCATGAAGTAATATTGTTCTTGATAACCACTGGTATACAAAGTCACAATTCCTAATCAAGGGAAGGTTCCAGCAAATCTTCAAGGGAAAATATAACCCTTGTTGTTTCTCCATTTTCTTCCCCAAATTATCCTTGGTGGTATTAACATGAAACATATTTTCTCAATCCCAATGCCTAATCTATAATCTCTTTTTCAAGAACCCCCTATTCTTTTTCCCATTAAATAAAGAAGTCCATTCTCACTTCTGTCATCCTCAAGCTGAGCCCTCCCTACCTCTTATCCACCTATTCTCTAGCAACCTGGAATCTCTGGTAACTATTATTATGAACTCTCTTACTCCAGAGGTTATTAAGTCCAACACAACTTTCCCCCCTTGAAAACAATTTAATTTGTTTGTGCAAAAATGCCACTTTTTCTCTATTTACATCTCTGATTTTTCAAAATATTACCTTCATCTCCTTTTTTGTTCCCTCATTCTCTCTGCTTCCTTTTTTTTTAAAATTTACCTTTATTGATTTCAGAGAGAGGAAGGGAGAAGAAAAGAGATAGAAACATCAATGAGAGAGAACATCCACTGGCCGCCTCCTGCATGTTCCCCACTGGGGATCGGGCCCACAACCTGGGCATTTGCCCTGACTGTGAACTGAACCGATGACCTCTTGGTGCCTGGGTCCACGCTCAACCACCGAGCCACACCAGGGGCTCTCTGCTTCTGTTTACATTCATCCCTTGGACAAATACTTATTGATAAGTATTCTAAGTTCCCCCACAGCTGGCCTCCAACCATGTTTTCTTACACAGCGCTTCATTTCCCCTAACACTTTCCTCGCTCCTAAGTCCCAGGTTCCCATTCTTCATTATACACACCACCACCCCCCAAGCAGCATCACCTACATCCTCCCATGTCGCTTGACCGGCCTTCTGCACAATCTCTGCCACTACAAATACCCCCAAAACCTTGAGATTCTCCCAACCCCAGATATTCAACCCCACTCCTCCCATATTCCCCAGCCCAGCCCTTCCAGCAACTCTCCAAAGCCCTGTCCCCTCCCTCCGGGTATCTCCCAGACCCCTAAAGAGCACCGCCCCCGGCCTTGCTCACGGGCTCGGTTGTCACGGTAACCGTTGTCTCAGTGACGGTCTCACTCAGCCCGGGCCCTGCCTCGGCCATGGCTAAGGCTGAGGGAAGGGAGGTGGGGAGGAGGGGGGATGAGGCGCCCTTCCCCTGTTCTGTGCCTCTGGGATCTAAGAGGGCCGGTATCGGGATCAAAGTAGCAGCCAGGATCCTCCACCTTCTTTTTTTCCCCTCCTCCTGGGCCTCCGCTTCCCCACCCCTGGGGATAACCTGTCCAACCCTACTTCCGGCTCTCCGCTTCCGGGTGTGACGCAGTCTGTAGTCCCCCTCTTCTGTTCCCCGGCACTCAGTGCGTCAAAGCGCAGGCGTCGCCGGATCAGTTCCGTCGTAACGTAGCAGTGCGCAGGCGCCCCGGGACGCGGCGGAAGAGAGGGCTCTGCGGCGGTGGGGGAGGGCGGCCGAGGGCGGCGCGCTCCGCGTCAGGCGGGAGGGCGGTCCCGACGGGGGCGCTGGGGTAGGCGCCCCTCCCCGGCTGGGGAAACGAAGGAGCCAGGGTAATGACCTACAGAGGTCCGTTCTGCTTCCCTATTGTTTCGTCTGGGAATTACAGAAACCGGACCTAGGAGCAGTTGGAAACACACTTGATTGAGAATCTGGGTTCCAAAAAACAGAAAGTCTGGGTTCTAGTACTCGTCCTGTGCCTTAAGTGTTCGAGTGGGCACTTCAGGCGCGTCCAACCTGGACGTTTTCCTGCGATTGCACTAGGCCTTGGAGATGGAGGCGCGAGACACTCAGACCCTGCCCGTTAGCTCGCAGTCTGGTGGGGAGAGTGGCATGCTTAGCACTAAAAAGCACAGCACGTTGGGGTAGTAATGTAGATGTAAATCTCATCTGTGGAACGGAGTTTACCCGCATACTGCCAACACTTTCTCTGGGGTAATGAGTAAGAGCAGGCAGAGAAATAGTAAATTACAATACAGGACAGTTTACACTCTGATAAAAATGTTTGTTTTTCAGGGAGCAAGAGTAGTGAAAAGGGAACCCGAAGGCTGACACATGGGGTTTTTTTGGGGGGGGGTACAAAGAGCAGCTTCAGAGACAGGTGTGTGCACTGAAGGGCATGCGGTGGGGATGTATAAAGCTGGGGTGTAAGGGGAGTGCCAAGGAGGCTTGACAGATGGGCTCGGTTACATGCTTTGCTGAGAAACTTGGACTTTATCCAGTCAATGTTAAGGGTCAGGGAAAGGCTTAATGGTAGCGCAGAAACATGAACAGATTTGTTTCAGATTTCCAGTTGGGCAGGGAAGTCAATTGCTAGAACAGTTCATAGGCACAATGCAGAAGACCACCCTGCCCATCCCTCAAAGTTGCTGAGGAGGTCAGACAAGATACATGTCTGAAAACTCTGAATACACAAAGGGTCACACAATTACCAGATAATCATTTTCACCTTTAAGCCAAGGCATGCAGGAATACTGATTCCCAGACTACAATTTGAATGTTTACTGTGCCTGGACTACAGTCGTCCCTGACCACTTCACTTCACTCTATGGCGGGTTTTTTAGTATTTGAAAAAAAACCGATAGAGTGAAGCCGCGAAAGCATGAAGTGGCAAGGGATGAATGTGTGTGTGTGTGTGTGTGTATATATATATATTTTCTTTTTTTATCCTCACCCGAGAACATTTTTCCATTTTTTGTTCAGGTAGAGTGGGAGGGGGAGAGAAGAGGGGAGAGAGGAAGAGAGAAAGAAACATCGACAAAGGGACACATTGAGTGGCTGCCACCCGCATGACCCCAACCAGGGCCGGGGACAAACTGCAACCAAAGTACGTGCCCTTAGCAGGAACCGAACCCGGGTCTCTCTGGATCGCAGGCTGATGCTCTAACTGCTGAGCCAAACCGGCCAGGGCATGACTGTGTATAAATAAAGAATCCTACTTCACAGAAATTCATTTATCGCTGTAGAGTCTGGAACTGATTAACCGTGATAAATGAGGGCTGACTGTATATATTTGTTCCCTTTTTTTTCTTATCCTTACCTGAGGACATTTTCACATTTATCTTCAGATAGAGCAGGAGGGAGAGAGGGGGGAAGAGAGAGAGAGAGAGAGAAACATTGATGTGAGAGAGACACATCAATTGGTTGCCGCCCACACGACCCCAACCAGGCAGAGGACAAACTGCAACCGAGGTACATGCCCTTAGGCAGCGGTTCTCAACCCGGGGGTCAAACAACCCTTTCACAGGGGTCGCCTAAGACATAACAGTAGCAAAATTGCAATTATGAAGTAGCAATGAAAATAATTTTATGGTTGGGGGTCACCACAACATGAGGAACTGTATTAAAGGGTCACAGCATTAGGAAGGTTGCAAACCACTGCTTAGTGGGAACCGAACCCGAGTCTCTCTGGTCCACAGGTGACGCTCTAACCACTGAGCCAAACCAGCCAGTGCAAAACTCTCATTTTTTGTTTCCTTAAATTTAGGAAACAAGTAGATTTAGATAGTGAGAAAATACTTATATATATATATTTGTTTATATTCGCCTCATGTTTGCTTCATTTTTTTGGCTTTTTTCTCTTTTCAATATGTTTTTATTGATTTTTTTTTTTTTTTTTTTTTTTAGAGAGAGAGAGACAAAGGGAGAGAGAGATAGAAACATCAATTGGATGCCTCCTGCACACCCAGCCAGAAATCTGGGCATGTGCCCTGACCGGGAACCAAACCAGGACCTCTCAGTCCATGGGGTGACACTCAGTCCACTGAAGCACACAGGCCAGGCTCTCCTTTTTCTTTCTAATCATCTAATTTGTACTCTTTTTGTAGTTGATATACTTGTTGAAAGAACAAATATATCTCTATGAACTCATTTAAATTCCATTTGGAACAAGACAGATTATAAGTAATGTACACCTGTCTGTGTCTTGTTGAAAAATATAGCTTTAATAGGAAAACTCAAGTAGGAATAGGAGCACCCTGGGGACAGTAGTAATCCCCATGTGATGATCTGCTTCTCCTCTGGGAGCAAATATTGCAACCAGGGGATGGACAAGGATCTAGGAACCCAATATCCTTCACCTTCCAAGGAAGAGGAGAGGGAGAGATTGTTGAGTCACCCAGGGGAAAAAAAAAAATCAAGAGTCTTCCTTCTCCTGGAACCTATGGAAAAAGAAAGGATTTCTTTATTATATTGGACCAAAGGAAGAGGTTCTAGCAGTGTAAGATGAAATACTCAAGTAATCAAGGAAGGACTTTTACTTATCACACTGTGGAAGGCTAGCTCCCCTAAACAATCTTCCAACTTCGAGCCAACTAAAAATGCTGGGAATAAAAATATATCTAATGAATTATGACCTAGAAGTATGCAGAGATGTCTTGGAATGCAAAAAGCACTAGCCATAAAATGAGGGTGGGAAAAGGATAAGCTGGACCTAATAAAAATTTAAAACTTTTGTTTATTTTATTATTATTATTATTATTTTTATCCTCACCTGAGGACACTTTTCCATTTTTTGTTCAGATAGAGTAGGAGGGAGAAAGAGGAAGAGAGAGAGAGAGAGAAACTTCGATGTGAAAGGGACACATTGAGTGGCTGCCACCTGCACGACCCAACCAGGGCCGGGGACAAACTGCAACCGAGGTACATGCCCTTAGTGAGAACTGAACCCGGGTCTCTCTGGACCACAGGCCGACGCTCTAACTGCTGAGCCAAACCGGCCAGGGCTATTTTTTAAAAGTTAAGGAAATAAATAAGTAAGACTGGGGAATATACTCTCAAAAGATATAGCTAACAATACATATATATATATATATATATATATATATATATATATTTTTTTTTTATCCTCACCCAAGGACATTTTTTCCATTTTTTGTTCAGGTAGAGTGGGAGGGAGAGAGAGAGAGAAACATCGATGCGAAAGGAACACATCGAGTGGCTGCCACCCTCACGACCCAACCAAGACCAGGGCCAAACTGCAACCGAGGAACGCGCCCTTAGCGGGAACCGAACCTGGGTCTCTCAGGACCGCAGGCCGACGCTCTAACCGCTGAGCCAAACCGGCCAGGGCTAACAATACATATTTTTAATCCATTGATGAGATGGCAAAAAAGTAAAGGCAATCTTCACAATGGGTAAATGATATAAAACCAGAAAACTAAACCCGTGCTACCATAGTCCTCTTGCTGTTTTGACAGCCATAATGGAGGAACCTGAGACAGACCTACAATGTCTGATAGGAGATAACTCTACATAAATCTGGGACTGACAAAGGACTACCCCTCTGTGTAAAAGTGACCAAGAAAAAAAATCTAACACTGCAGAAGGGGAATTTGTGTCTCTAGGTAGAGGAAGAAAAATCTCTCCTGAGCCCTGGCTGGTTTGGCTCAGCGGATAGAGCGTCATCCTGGGGTCTAGAGAGACCTGGGTTTGGTTCCTGCTAAGGGCATGTACCTTGGTTGCAGTTTGTCCCTGGCCCTGGTTGGGTCGTGTGGGAGCCTTCATTGTGTCCCTTTCACCTCGATGTTTCTCTCTCTGTCTTCCTCTCTCTCCCGCCTACTCTATCTGAACAAAAAATAGAAAAATGTCCTCGGGTGAGGATAAAGAAAAAAATCTCTCCTGAGATTTTCTAACTATAAGCTGGCCCTTGCATGAATTTGCAGCCCAAATTCATACTACCTACAGAGTCCAAAAAAAATGGAAACCAAGTTTATTTAAAGTGATTTTGGCTTGGTAATGCCTCAAGGCACCTGAACAGGAAACACAAATGCTGAGAATACAGCATTCACCTCACGCCTCAAAGAATTACCATAGTTCAGATTCTAAAAAACTGAACTTACAGTCAAAAATCACAAAACAGGAAAAAATTACCATGGGAGAGTCAGCAGAAATAATGGACAGCAGCATCATACCCACAAAAATGGTGGGTATTGGAACCATGAGACACAATATAAATGGCACTGTTTAATATATTTAATATATATTTTAAGAACAAAGGAGCAATTTAAAATATGTTAAGGAATTGGGAATTATTAAAAATGACTGAGGCAATTTAAAAAGCAATCAAGTAGAATTCAAAAAATAATTAAGGTATAGCCCTGGCCGGTTTGGCTCAGCGGTTGGAGCGTCAGCCTGCGGTACAGAGAGACCCGGGTTCGGTTTTTGCTAAGGGCATGTACCTCGGTTGCAGTTTGTCCCCGGCCCTGGTTGGTCATGCGGGTGGCAGCCACTCGATGTGTCCCTTCACGTCGATGTTTCTCTCTCTCTCTCTTCCTCTCTCTCCCTCCCGCTCTATCTGAACAAAAAAATGGAAAAATGTCCTCGGGTGAGGATAAAATAATAATAATAATTAAGGTATAGCTGAAATAAACTGAAGACAGAATTAGTGACACTGGAAGAGAAACCTGAAGAAGTTACCCAGAAGCAGCACAGAGAGAACAAGATGGGAAATATGAAAGGCAGGGTGGGAGAAATAGAGGACAGTCTAATAAACAACTAATTTAATTAGATTCCAGCATGTGACAATTGAGAACACGAGGGAAAGCAATATTCAATGAGATAATGGTTGACAGTTTTCCAAGGTTGATGGGGAAAAAAGAAGAAGCAATCCTCCATATTGAAAAGTCCAACAAATCCCAAACAGGACAAATTTTAAAAAGCCACGTCTTGATGTAAAGCAGTAAAGCTGCAGAACACCAAAGACAAAGAGAAGTTCTTAAAGCCATTCAGAGAGCCTGTGTTCTTTAAATCACGCAGGGCTAATTCTCCCAAAAGTACAACTTCCTTGAGTGTAATGGAAGATTCTAACATAACATGCTGACCACTAAGCAATACTTGCCTTCTGCATTTTTCATTTCCTTTTAAATATGTTAAAAGGTTTAGTTCACTGGCATTAAAAGGACAAGAAAAGTGTAATTTTAAAAAATAAAAATGACCAATCTCCCTATTGCCAGACCTGTACAAAAAATGGATGGGACCAAAAGAAACAATTGTTTATTCGGTCCAAAAAGTGAATGCTTAGATTTGTTTAGCTAGCAAACAGACGAGAAAGGGCGGAGGCAAGGAAAAGGGTACGCACTTGCAGTTGGTACAGGTGTAGAAGACAGTTTGCCCTTCGTCGGCTGAGCGCATCTGTCTGGTGTAGTATGCCATTCCCTCGTGACCACAGCGAGAGCAGCGCCTGTCAATCTGGGAAGCAACTGGTGGGTTAGGGAGGCCGAGTCATACCCCTACTTGTCAGAAGCTGTTGTTACACTGCCTGGGCACCGCTGCTCCAAAGGCCCTCTTCTGTGTTGGAATTGGGTACAAAACTCTCCAGATCTTAACAATCCCTCCTCCGTTTCTTTCCCACCCTCCCTGTGGGGCCCGTCCTTGGTGTCATTAACTTACCACGGGTCCCTGGAATCCGGGTCCTTCCTCCATCGACACGGGCACGGCTGTCCCCAGTTTGTGGAACAGGACTGAGGTCTTCACAACCTTCCCTTCGAAGTCTGCGCAGGCAGTAAGAACCGGTTACACCAACAGCAGAGGGGCTGGCGCGCGCAGCCCCCTCGGGGTCAGGCCGGGTGGCCTTACACCCTTCCCTTCAGGTTTCGTCCCAGACGAAATGTATTGGTGCCTGATCCGCCTTCGCGTCCCACTCCAATGGAACTGAGCTGGACTGCCCCAAGCCTGCGACCCTTCCACCCTGGGACCTCGGCCGGGGCCGCTGCCTGGGGGCCCCTCACCTCGCACGTTGATGGAGAAGCCACAGCGAGTGCAGATGACTGTATCCCGAGTCCCTGGTAGAGGCAGGACTGAGCCGCACTCCGGGCAGAAATCCAGGTCCGACTGGAAGCTGGAGCAGCTGCCGGCGAGGTCCATGGCAGACGGGTCAAGAGCTGGGAAGGGGATGTGAAGGTTATTAATAAAAGAGAGAGTCGCCCCCTCTGCACTCAGGGGTCATTCCTATTCCGTTCCTGGACCTTAGCGTATATAACTCAAGCCCTCCTCCCACGCGTGTCTCGTGCCTCTGCGACCACGGCGCCCCGCGTCCGGAAGGCCCAGCCCGCGTCGGGTACCCAGGCTTGGGGGCTTGCGTGGGGCAGGCGAAGGGAGCCCGGGACTCCGCGGGCTAGAGCGCCGGCTCGGCGCGGGCAGCGGGCAGCGAGCGCGAGGCGGCTAGAGCGTCGGCGTCCCGGCCCACGCTGAGCTGAGACGTCGTGATTAGTCGCAAACAGACCCCGAGCGCCTTCGGGAGTGGAACGTCTCCGAGGGGAGACCGTGGCGTCACCTTCAGCTCGGTTCTGCGGCTTCGGGTGAGAGAGCGGGTAATCGATGCGCCTCCGCTACTTTTCCTCTTAGGACCCAAACCCGGGACATTTATTTCCTCGGTCTCGCATCTCAGAGGGACCCCGTGGAGGGGGGGGGTGTCCTCGAAAGTCGTACTAACCTTACTGAGTATTACTGTGTTAGGGATGCAGAAGTACACTCCCGCCGTTCTTGAGCCGGATTTCCCCTTCGCGGTTCCGCGCTGGTTATAAACAAAGAAAGCTAAGCATTTTGGGAGTTAGAGTTTTAACGTTCCTTGGGCCTAGCGGGCCCAGTAAAGACTTTCTGTGGAGCCCAACCTGGCTCTCGTGCTCTAGGGCTGTCTGGGGCCTGCGGAAGGGGTGGGCCGGCTTCTTAGGAGGCAAGAAGTGGCGGGGGTGCTAGGGTGAAGTCGGAGGAGTGCTTAGTCCCTGGTCGTGAAAGGAAGCAATGATGCATGGGATAGACTCAGGACTTTGTAGGTGGTGAAACGGGTTGGACCACCCCTCTTCAGAAGCTAGCATTAGTCAAAGGTCAGCTTTGGGTAGGATTTCACTAAGGCTTAGGTCGAGTTTGGCTTTCATTTGTACACCTATCTCCAGTTACCTCGTCCCTCACCTCCTGTCCAACCAATTCTAAATCATCATCAAGCATTAGGTGGACAGTTGACATTTCTCAGATTTTTTTTTTCCCTCACCCGAGAACACCTGTCCATTTTTTGTTCAGATAGAGTGGGAGGGAAGGCGGGAGGGAGAGAGAAACATCAATGCGAAAGGGACACATCGAGTGGTTGCCACCTGCATGACCCAACCAGGGCCGGGGATAAACTGCAACTGAGGCACGTGCCCCTAGCGGGGACCAAACCCAGGTCTCTCTGGACTGCAGGCCGATGCTCTAACCACTGTGCAAAACCAGCCAGGGCTCAGATTTTTTTTTTTTTTTTATAAGACATGAGAACAAACAGCTTTAGAAAATCTTGCTTCTTTCGATCGTCCCTGAGTACAATCTACAGTAGAAACTTGTCCTGAAGGGACAGCTTCTGAATGAGTTTCTTACTTCCCTGTCTGCCCTTCCATCCTTGCCCAACCATATAGCTGTTTTAAGCTCTACATATAAAAGTTCTGGAGCCATCACTGTTTGTCCCCTGAAAGAGATAAGCTGTGGTCTCCCTTGAAAAAGACTGTGGTCTTCCTTCTCTGCAGTAATGGAAAGACATACGATAGTGAAGGGGTTACAGCTCTGAACAAGACACCAGAGAGTGACAAGCCCCATAATTTCTGTCTGTCTCACAAAGAGAGATCTGTTGCTGAGCCCAAGATGGGAGGCCATTGCTGTTCTTACTTCTCTGTGTGTCTGTCTCTTTTGAACATGGAAATTGAAGTTAGTGCTCTGCCCTCACCAACTTTCCCTTTTCATTGAAGATCAACCATGAGTTGAATACTGTCCTAAAACGCAGTAAAGGAACACAAGCATTATAAGGTATGGTCCTTTTCCAGTGAAAGCTCACGGTCTGTTCAGTTAGTATTTATTTAGCACTGTGCCAGTCTTTGAGCTGGGACTCGGTGGCAAAGTTGCAAACTGTTCTCGGATCTTAAAAAGTGCAAATGAATAACTAAAATACAATGAAAGTATACTAGTAGGGCAAAATGTAAGAACCCAAGACAGTCATCTAAAACAAATATGCCTGTATACTTCAAGGAAGACTGGTAAATGTTTTAATAAAAAATAGATACAATATTATGGGGAACGTAAGAGAGAAAGATGCTCAGATACTATGTGATAAGGATAATCACCAATCAACAAATCATTAATTACAAGAACTTAGGATCACAGACTAATGTTAAATACTGTGCTAGATGCTATATTTTGAGAAATAAAAGTATGGTGGTCATTTTTTTTTTTTTTATCCTCACCTGAGGATATTTTTGCATTTATCTTTCAGATAGAGCAGGAGGGAGAGAGGGAGGAAGCAAGAGAGAGAAACATCGACGTAAGAGAGACACATCGAGTGGCTGCCACTCACACGACCCCAACTGGGGCCGGGGACAAATTGCAACTAAGGTACGTGCCCTTAGGGAGAACCGAACCTGGGACTCTCTAGACCGCTGAGCCGAACCGGCCAGGGGCTCAGTCAGAATTTTTAAAGTGATATATGAATACAGATACCACAATGTAAACCATGATTGATTTTCAAATGAGTTGTAGAAGTAAAAATGTTAAGTATTCAGAAGAAGACAGAACCACGATCAGATAAAGTAAAACAGAAAGACTTTATAGAGTTAGGGGCTTGACCTGTGGAGGATAGACAACTAGTATTTACTCTGAGAACTTATCATACATCAAGCATTATACCAAGCTCTTCAATCTAGTTTACATTTCTTTATTTACTCAAGAGGCAGACTTTTGTCTAAGTCTAGAATTATCTCAGAAGACAGAGGCTGGGGGACTGAGCAGTCTGACATAGATGTGCTTGGACAGTGCTTCACCAAGGAGCCTGTCTCCCCTCTCCCATGATACAAGATTCAGAATGGTTTGTGTTGAGTCCACAAGAGAATTACACTTTTAATTTATATGACAGGATGATATGCCCTTATTAAAAGAGCGTTCGTTTCACTGGCCACCACAGGAATGCAGTGGTTTCCACGGGGAAATGGCCCTGCTGTAGTCTTGCCTGTTAGCAGGTTTACTCTTTCTAAGCAGAAATATCCTTGGCCTGAGCCAAGACAGTTGGATTTTTTTTGTTCAGTCATTGTGTGAGATATGTTCTGACACCTCCCACATTCTAATCTACCTTTGCTTTTTTATCTTTTAGATTGGCCTGAGTTAAAGCATCTAGAGACCCTAGGATTGCTTCAGATCAGCAGTCCCCATTGGAGAAAAAATATTGGTAGATAAATTATCTTCACATCACACAGTTTGGAACTACTAAGAAAGAACCTTAGCTTCACAATCTTTCTGCTGAAGTGACACCCTCAAGTAGTATGTCTACACTGGTAACTGTTTTCTAGCTATTATCCATATTTGAAAAACAAAGTATTATTTTTGAAAAGTCCCAATACTATGTTTTTCAAAAATTTGTTATTGATTTTGGTAGAAGGTGCTTCAGCTTTCAGAGCTCACAGGCTCATGTAGGAATGATGGGAGTAAGATCACTGTTCTTACACTAAAGTAAATAAAAGACCACTCATCTTTTCTTGGTGTCCGTAGTCAGGGTAAGCTCCTGTTTAAATATGTTTAATGTAGCCCAGCCAGTGTGGCTCAATGGACTGAGCGTCAGCCCATGGACTGAGGTCCCAGTTCAATTCCCTGTCAGAGCACATGCCCAGATTGCAGACTCAATCCCCAGTAGTGGGCGTGTAGGAGGCAGCTGATCAGTATTTCTATCTCTCCCTAAGAATCAATAAAAACATATTTAAAAAATACAGATATATGTTCAATGTAAAAAAATGGTCACACTATCAAATTCTGTCCCTCCCCTCTGATGGAATCTTGGTGGTGTACTTACAAAAGCAGCAAGACAACTGATAACTCAAAAAAATCAAGAAAAGTTTCAGACACTCTGTAGGGAGCAAGATCTTTCCCTTGACCACTGGCTTGTCCAAGTGGAGTCTTATTATAATAAAAGATTGGTGGAAATGATGAAGGAGCAAGAGACAGGCAATGGAATTGAAAAGAAATGGGAGGGGAAGCCAACCCAAAGCACAGAGAGACAGAAACGGCACCACTTGGTGCCTGAGAGAGAGCTGAGACGCACAGAGGGGCACATGCATGGAGCAGGACAGGTCAGGGAACTAACAAAGAAAACGTTTAGACAATTACGACCTCCTACTGAAACAACGTTCCCAGACATTGTGCCAGAAGGGCATGGTGTCCAGAATGCACAGAGAAGAAAATAGGTAAATGAGAGGGAGCAGGCACAAATGAAAGGTCACCAGGAACGCATGATTCAAGGACGAGAACTGGTGGAGCAGAGGTTCAAGGAGAGAGTGTTGAGAAGAAGCCAGAACCAGCTGTGCACAGCCGAGAAGCACGAGAGGATGAAGACAAAGGTCAAAGGGTTTAAAAGTGTTACCGCATACCCCCTTTTCCAGCCATGTGGAAGTCGGATTAAAGTGAATGTTCTTAATGAAAAAGTCTCAGAATAAAGAAGAGAATACAAGTATAAAACCTTATCAAAGAAAATTCTTAACTCTGTCACCCTTTCTGAAAAGTCAAATAAGACAAAAGATTAGTCAAGTTTCCGTGCTTTTCTGATAAAATCATGTCTCTTAAATGAACCTTTTTTTTTAATGCTAGTTCTCAACCTGTCCCCAGAGTTCAGTGAATAGTCCTATTTGTCTCAGCTACAGAAATACCGGATAGCTCTGGCCTTGAACACTAGCTCAGGTATTTTTAGTTTGTTAAGTTGATTTTATTCTCTTTGATGTTCAGTTTTATCATCTAAAGTGGGGTTAATAATGTTTTATAATTTTTCTGGGTGGATTATGATTTCTGTGAAGCATATGTTTCATAAATGTTAGTTTCTCCACTTGGCAAGACCTGGGTTGGACAATGAAGGTGAATAAGGAATTGTTCTCATCTGCTTCTCCCATTCCCCTTGCTCCCAACCCTGGAAGATTATCTTGATGGAATTGCTGTAGGTAAGTATATAGTCTTTCATTTCCCCTTCATTCCTTTATCAGGGAACTGTTAACCGTGCCCAGAAAGTCTAATGTGCACCATGCCATTTTGTATGAAACTTAATTTTGAGAACTTCTTTTGTGCCAGGCATTGTTAGTTCTGGGAGTGAATAAAGAGAAGTCTCTGCCCTTGAGTTTACAACTCATGGCATAGATCACTCTAAGCAGATAATAAGATGTGGTGAGGGTTATGGTAGAAGTGTGCAGAGGAGATGTACAGAAGAGGGTCACCTAACCTGGACTAGGTGAGCAGAGTGAAAAGGGAAGTCAGAGAAGGGAGTGTGGTAGTCTCTCGGTTTTCTTCCAGCTCCACACTTTGGCACTTTTTAAAAAATACGTCTTTATTGATTTTTTAGAAGAAAGGAGAGAGATACAAACATCGATGTGAGAGAGAGAGATTGATCAGTTGCCTCCTGCATACCCCCTACTGGGGATTGAGGCTGAAACCCTGGACATGTGCCCTGACCGGGAATCGAACTGAGACTTCTCAGTCCATGGGGCAACGCTCAGTCCACTGAGTCACACCAGCCAGGCCATTTTGGTACTTTCTATCACCCATTTAAGCAAGACTTTTTTAATATACGATGTGTAAATGATACCATAATAATAAGTCACACTTAATGCTTTTCTTTTGTCCTATATTCTGTTTTCTTTTTATTGAGAAATGTAATATACAAATGAAAATGTGTATGTGCATTTGGAAGCACAGTAAGAGATGTCCAGGTTCTTACTCCTCAGGCTGAGAAGTGGGCCCTCACCATACCCGAGCCCTGTGGCTCTCCCCACTCACATCCCTTTCCTCCTCCTTAGGGGCAGCCACTCTGCAGAACTGTGTGGTAACTGTCACCTTATTACAGTTTTTACCATCTATGCAGGTACATTTGACCCTTAATGAAGGGGTTAGGGGCACTAACCCTTACCCCAAACTGTCAAACATCTGCGTATAACTTTTCCCTCCCCCAAAACTTTACTAATAGCATACTGTTGCCCAGAAGCCTTATCAATAGCATAAACAGTCGATTTACACATATTTTGTATGTTATATGTATTATATACTGTATTCACAATAAAGTAAGCTAAAAAAAGAAAATGTTATTAAAATAATAAGGAAAATATGTTTACAGTACTGTATGTATGGAAAGAAATTCACGTAAAAGTTGACCCAACAGTTCAAAACCATATTCATAGGTCAACTGTATTTGTAACTGACATGATTGTTAATAGTTGCCTCTTTATGTCCTTCATAAATGGAAATATATTGTATCTAATTTACTTTCTTTGCTTGTTAACATTTTTTAGTTCATTTATGTTGATGTGTGGCCCTGTAGTTCTTTTTTTTTGTTTTGATTCTCATCTTCCCAGTCTGTTGGAGTTCTCCAGCTGCCTTCAGACCTCTTCTCTACACTCGCTCTCTCGTTAGTCTGTCTCGTGGCTTTAATACATCTGTACGCTAATGCACCAATGATCCAAATGCGTGTTTCTAGTGTAGTTTGTTTTCATGACGTGAAATATGCCACAGCTGAATGACCTGTTGTTGTCCTTCGGGTTATTTTCATTACTGCTTTTGTTTTCTTTTACAAATGATACTTCTGTAACCCTTCCTCTAACATGTTTCTGGTGCAGGTGTGCAAGGGTTTCTCCAAGGTTTGTAAGTTGTGGTATATCCATTATTACAAGCTTGGTCCTGGAGTTTGTTAGGGTTTTATTCCATTGTGGTTTTATACCTTCAGGTTTGTTCTGTAGAGTCTGGCACATACTACACAGAGTAAGTATTTTTTTGGGGGGGAAAGGACATTTGTTAACTCCTGGAAACAGCTGTGTCCAAGAGATCCAGGCTCAGAATACAAAAACAGCTGCCAATATACCACTATGCCTTCTTACATCCTGTCTGTGCACAGTCATAGTCAGCCTTTATTTCTATTTTAGTTGAGATACTAAAATATATTTATTTGATTTGTTTTTTAATACCCTTCTAATAAATTCAGGATTTGTTTCTTCCTCTATTCCCTTCCCCAAAACTCTTTCTTCAATGCCTTCTGGACACGGTCACCCACGTGTCCTGTGAAGACACCTGGCATCATTATAAAGTTTCAGTAAGTCTAAACAAAAGGGTTCCAGAGAAGGAGTACTGGGAGTTCTCCTGTGGTATTGGTGCTCAAGTCCCTGGCGTACCATGGACTCTAACAGTTCCTGGTGTCTGCTGGACAAGAGTCTGAGTTTCTTAGCTCTCAAGTATTCTATGACTTAGCCCCAGTGGAGCAGTGAGTTTGGAATTGGGAGATTTGTTTTGGGTCCCAACTCAACCATATATTGGCTGGCTGATATGAGGAAGCTCTTGCCCTTACGATGACAATTGGGATAATAAAACCTTTCTCACCCAGTTGTTCCCATGAGATGAGAAATAGTGCTTTATAAGCATAAAATGCCACAATATGAATTACTGCCCTACTATGGGTTTTCTTTCTCTACTTTCATGCTGTGCTATAAATTTCTCCCCAAGCAGAAGCATTTAAATTTTTATCCTCACCCGAGGACATTTTTCCATTTTTTGTTAAGATAGAGTGGGAGGGAGAGAGAGAGAAATAACGACGTGAAAGGGACACATCGAGTGGCTGCCACCCACACGACCAACCAGGGCCGGGGACAAACTGCAACCAAGGTATGTGCCCTTAGTGGGAACCGAACCTGGGTCTCTCTGGACCGCAGGCGACGCTCTAACCGCTGAGCCAAGCCAGCCAGGGCGGATCTTGAATCTTGAAAGGACAGTTAACATCTGTGAGATACTCTTCAAAGAACTTGGGTCAGTCACTGCTGTGGATGTTTCTTAAATTACCTTTGTCTTCAATCTTGTAGTGTCTGATTTTCTGGTCTTCAAGCCAAACAATGAAGTTTCTAAATTCTGTTCCATCTTCACAGTTGAAGCCCGCAGGATTGTGGTAGTCGAAGGCCATCAGTTTGCATCAGAACATGGTCCTGGCTTCTCGCTCTAGTTCCCCAGGGCTTCTGCCGGGAACGGACAGGCAAGGAGCAGCAGGCAGCGAGCAGTGAAGGTCTGGAATTTCTTAGAGTCAAGAGCCTGTTATTGTCCTGGCCAGTTTAGCTCAGCAATTAGAGCGTCAGCCTGTGGACCAGAGAGGCCCGGGTTTGGTTCCCGCTAAGGGCACGTACCTCAGTTGCAGTTTGTCCCCAGCACAGTTGGGGTTATGTGGGTGACAGCCACTCAATGTATGTGTCTCACATTAATGTTTCTCTCTCTCTTCCCCTCCCTCCCCGCCTGCTCTATCTGAAGATAAATGCAAAAATGTCCTCGGGTGAGGATAAAAAAAAAAGTACAGTAGCATCGTGGTCAAAATTCCTTGTTTGCAAGCCTTAGAAACTTACTTGGGTTAGTATAAAGAAAAGGGAAAATCAGTAGGCAGCATCTTAAGATATTTCACATTATTAGGCCTCATAGGAGATTGGAACCCAAGCAGTCACTTCCACTACCAACTCGTATTTCTGCTCCTGTTCTTGCATCTGCTCATTCAGTTCTGCTCACTCCTTTCCTTTGTGTCTTGGTTCTCATAATGGGAGATGGGGGCTCTCTTCTTTTTTTTTTTTTTTTTTTCTTATCCTCACCCGAGGACATTTTTCCATTTTTTTTGTTCAGATAGAGCGGGAGGGAGAGAGAGGAAGAGAGAGAGAGAGAAACATCGATGTGAAGGGACACATCGAGTGGCTGCCACCCGCACGACCAACCAGGGGCCGGGGACAAACTGCAGCCGAGGTACGTGCCCTTAGCGGGAACTGAACCTGGGTCTCTCTGTACCACAGGCCGACGCTCTAACCGCTGAGCCAAACCGGCCAGGGCGGGGCTCTCTTCTTTCTCATGACCTCATGCTATCGGCTTTCTTTCTCTGCAGTGTATCCAACTGCTCCCTCTCACCTGGATCATTCCTGTTGACCTATAAACATGCTCAAGGTTTTCCCGTTTAAATAAGCTACCACGCTGTCTGCATTCCTTCAAAGTTAGGTGTCTTAGAGAGTTTGTAGCAGCTGTCTGCATTCTGGCTTCAGTGCCCTTTCACTGAGTCATGGAAGAGCTCCATGTGGCTGAGTCCAGTGGACAGGTAGAGTGGGTGGGGAAAGGACAGCAGAAGACTTGACAGGCATTTAGCAGCAAAGGCAGCACGGGACAGGGATCAACAATTCAAGGGTAGGAATCCCGTCCTAGAAACAAGAAGGCAAGGGCATTGGTGAACCTGAGGGGCTGGAGGTCAGGCAGGGGCCAGTGGACCATTCAAGGGACTGGGCAAGGGTGCCAAGGGAACAAGATGCGCAAGCAGTGATAGGGCTCGAGATAAAGAACCAGAATAGGAAAAGAAATGCTGACAAAACCAGGTCTGTTGATTTGGGTTCCACTAGGGATGGGGCAAGTCTTAGTCTTAGGCTGAGCTAATCCAACAGTTGAGGGTTAAGAAAGCCCAACATAGGAACATTATCAGGTTACAGGGACAGGAGACAAGATAATTACTATAACCCTTATACTCTACCAGGTTCATGAGATAAGGCTGAACTCATTAAGACATGCCTGATACTATCTTTTTTTTTTTTTTATCCTCACCCGAGGACATTTTCCCCATTTTTTGTTCAGGTAGAGTGGGAGGGAGAGAGAGCAACAGAGAGAGAGAGAGAAACATCGATGTGAAAGGAACACATCGAGTGGCTGCCACCCGCACAACTGACCAGGGCCGGGGACAAACTGCAACCGAGGAACGCGCCCTTAGCGGGAACCGAACCCGGGTCTCTCAGGACCGCAGGCCAACGCTCTAACGGCTGAGCCAAACCGGCCAGGGCTGCCTGATACTATCTTAACCATGAAAGTTGAAGTGCTTGAAAATTGAGCCTCAGGATTTAAGGTGTAGAAGATTGGTGTTTTGTTTGAAGTAGATCTCATGATAAAGTCTTGTTGAATTAGCATCATGAATTATAGTTAGGCTGATGAACAAGGGTACTTTTTATCCCTGAAGGTGGGTAGTAAGCAGGTCAGCAGTGCCATGATAGTATAGTAGCATAGGCTTCCTAAAATTCACCTGTTCGGGCCCTGGCCAGGTAACTCAGTTGGTTAGAGCATCATCCCCATATGCCAAGGTCGTGGGTTTGAACTCCAGTTAGGGCACATAAAAGAATCAACCAATGGCCTTGGCCGGTTTGACTCAGTGGTTGGAACGTCAGCCCATGGACCAGAGTCTCAGGTTTGATTCCTGTCAAGGTCACATACCTTGGTTGCGGTTCGGTCCCCAGCCCTGGTCAGGGTTGTGTGGGAGGCAACCAGTTGATGTGTCTTTCTCATGTCGATGTTTCTCTCCTTCCCTCCCTCTCTCTCTCCCACTCTATCTGAAGATAAATGGAGT